TAACAACTCTATTCTTACACTAGGTATAATCTTAAACCAATTATGAAAATTTAGAACTAGGAGATGTTCTTTCAAAATGGCCTCAAAAGCCTAATGTCTTAAAATGTTTTGAATTTTTGACCAAAGATACACAGAGGGTATTTGTTGTTAAATTTTTGTAATGAAATGTAATCTAGTTAGCCATCCATGTTCAGAGGTTCCACATCTGTGGATTCAGCCAACAGTAGATTGAAAATATTAAAAAAATCTTTACATCTGTACAGAACATGTTCAGATGTTTTCTTGTCATTATTTCTAAACCATATAGTATTACAATTATTTGCATAGCATTTACATTAGGAATTATAATCTAAAAACGATTTAATGTATACAGGACTTGAGCATCCATGGATTTTGGTAACCACGGGGTCCCTGAAACCAATCTTGTATAGCTACAAAGGGATGACTATATACATACAGTGAAGAGCACTATATATACCTTAAATAGCACAATTCAACAAATTTTTATGAACTGAATGCTTTATTTTCCATATCACTTCAAGTCAACTATTTAGATAAATAACACACAAGCAAATAAAAGTGATGCCTGAGAGTTCTTGCAGCAAAAGTGATGCATTCATCTGCTGTGGAGACTTATCTCCCATTTTAGAGACAGTAGGAATTAATATTTTTGTTGTCATGTGATTTTTTTTGGGGGGGGGGAATGTAAAGGTCTTTTTAAAATTTGTTATTTTTAGTTATACATGACAGTAGAATGCATTTTGGGAAATCATGCATACATAGAGTCTAACTTATTTTAATTAGGACCCTATTGTGGTTGTACATGATGCGGGTTACCCTGGTTGTAGATTCAAATACAAGGCTAGGAAAGTTATGTCTGATTAATTCTACTGTCCTTCCTATTCCCCTCCCCTCTCCACTCCCTTTGTTCCCCTGAACTAAATGTTCCCTTCCCTGGTGATTAAGATTCAGAGCGTTTCCAACACTACAGAAGGCTCCTCCTGTCCCATTTCAATCATCCACAGTCATTTCTCCTCCAAAGGTAACCAATATTCTCACTCCCACAGTCATTGGTTCTGCTTGTTGTCCAACTTCATGTAAATGAAATCATAGAAGGTTATGTACTGCTTTATTTCCGCCTTTTTGACCCACATTTTATATGATATATTCATATTTTAACTTATAGTCATAATTTGATGTTTTTCAGTGTTGCACAATATCCCATTTAAATTTATCTAAATTTTTTTATATTTTCCACTTTTAATGGGCATTTGGATTGTTTCCAGTTTAGCACTCTTAAACATAATGGTAATATAAACATTAAAGATGCTTTTGAGAAATATATGTATATGTTTCTGTTGTGTAGACATCTAAATAAGATAGTGTACATTTAGCTTTTATAGATATTACAAATAGCTTTCTAAAGTAGTTGTTCTAATTTATACTCAGCAGTGTAGGCAAGTATTATGTTACTCTATTCGTTTAACCATAATTGATGCTGTCAGGTTTTTGGTTTGTTTGGTTGTTTTCATTTCAGCCACTCCAGTGTTATGTCGTTGTGCTATAATATACATTTTTCTGTTAACTAATGACGTTGGGCATCTTTTCATATTATCTTTTATCTTTGCATACACTACTAAGTGCCTAGTCAAGTTTTCTTTTGCCCATTTTAATTTAGTTGTCTTTTTATTTTTTGGTTTCATTAATATTTTTCGGTAAAAGTTCCTTGCTAGTTGCATGTATTAAAAATATCTTCACCCCAATGTAGCTTGAGTTTTAACTCTCTTCATTGGATGTCTTTGTTGTTGTTTTGTTTGTTTGTTTTGTGATACTGGCGATGGAAACCATGGGAACTCTATCACTGAGTTGTATCCTCAGCCCTTTCTAGTTTTCACTTTGAGACAGGGTCTTGATAAATTACTGAGACTTGCCTAAAACTTTTTCTCCTCTTGCCTCAGACTCCCAAGTAGCTGGCATTGGAAATAGGTGGTATTGTCCTACCACACAAAGCTTCATTGCATGTTCTGAAGCAGTTCTAAATCCTAACATACTCCCATTTGTCAGTCTCTTCCTTTATAGTTACTGCTTTTCTATCCTTTTTAAAAACCTTTGCTCATCACGAGTTTGTGTAGATCTTGTCTTACTTTAACCTTTAAAAGACTGATTTTTTTCACATTTAAACATATTACATTTAAACATTCCATATTTAATCAAACACATTAAATCCACCTAGAATTAATTTTTGTACGTGGTGTGAGGTAGGGGTCAAGAGTTGTGTTTTTCTATGTGGATATTAAACTAACCAGATTCAATTTACTTTTAAAATTCTTTTCTCAAAATTTGTTAAAACTGCACCTTTGTAGAAAGTCAAGTGACTGTATGTGTGTAGATTTGTTTTTAGATTCACTATGTCACTTTTGTCTTTATGCCAATATCATACTGTTTTAATTATGGAGCTTTGTGTTAAGTGTTGATATCTTATGGTGTAACTTCTCCAACTATAATCTTCTTCAAGATTGTATTGACTATTCTAGTATGTCTAGACACATATTTTTATATAAAAATTTTAGAATCAGGTTTTCAATTTTCATTTAAAGACATGCTGGTGGAATTTTTATTGGAATTGTGTTAAATCTATATATCAATTTAGAGTAAACAAACATACTTGCCTTGTGTATTCAAATTATTGGAAATGATATGTTTTATTTATCTTCTTTCACTTACTTCAATAATAGTGTAGATTTTCATGTTTGAAAGATTTATTCTTAAGTATTTATTGCTTTTATTGCCATCATAAAGGGTATCATTTCTTTAAAACAATTCATCTGCAAGCTTATTGCTATTATATTTTTTAAAAACAGAAGTTCTGTGTATTTACCTTGCATTAAGTGACTTTGCTAATTCACTTGTTAAGCCTGATTATTTATACATGTGGGGGTTCTATGTACATAATACCATCATCTCCAAATAATAACCATTTTGAGTTTCTAACTTTAATAATTTGTTTGTTTGCTTTATATACTGACTAAGCCTCCCTACACAATATTGAATAGAAATGGTGATAATACACACCTTTGTCTTATTCCTGAACCGAGGGCAAAAGATATTTACTATTTTCCCATTAATAATTAACAATAAATGCTTTAGAGATATAAATTATAGTATAAATATTTTTTTCTGTTTCTAACTCCTAAAATATTTTAGCATAAATAGGTGTTGAATTTTATTAGATGCTTTTTCTGCATCCATTTAGATTATCATGTTGCTTTCTTATATTTTTACTGTAGTATATTATGATTGAATTCTTAATATTAAGCATTGCTAGAATAAAGTCAATTTGGTTACTATGTATTTAATTTGCTAATGTCTTGAGGATTTGAATTTCTATTTATAAAAGGATTTGATTTTTAAATTTTTCTTTTTTGAATAACTTTGCTAGGTTTTAATATCAAGGCTATGCTGGTCACATAAAATAGTTGGGAGATGTTTCTTATTTTTCCATTGTTCATGTTTTCTCCTGGAGCATGGTCTGTTAGGAGTTTCAAATGTAAGTCTGGGGTGGTTATGAAGAACACACCTTAGAAAGCCTAAATTCCAGTTTTTTCTCCATACAGTCAGATTGCCAAAGCATCTGCAGCTTAGCTATTTTAGCCTTTTAGCAACTGGAGTCTTCTAAGTTTCTGTATGTCTTATCCTATGCATATAGAGCCCAGAAGTCATCAATGACTCAAGGAAGAACTGCACAACGAATGCTGGGTACAATTCTCTGCAGCATTCTCTTCTTAGCACAAAGAACATTCAAATTCTAGTTCATAGTAACTCTAAATTCCAGCTTTTGTATCTCTGTCCCAGTAAAGCTGCTGCAGCTCTAGGATGCTGCTTTCTTCCCAGCCTGTGCCCCAGGTCTTGAGTGTTAAAAGCAGCAGTGAACATAGGACCCACCTCAAATTTTTTCTTTCTCTTTGGGACCTTAATCTCTCAAATCCAACTGTCTGGATTATTCTCCAGTGACTCTATAAAGACTGTTTTGTTGTTGCTGTTGTTGGTTTGTTTTGTATTTTATTTACCTTTTATAGTTGATATCAATGAAAAGTTATTCGATAAGAGCTCCTCCATCATAGCTACAATCAGAAGCCTCTCAATAGAGCTTTAAAATAGATGAACATGAGACATCACTACTTACTCTATCATTTCACATCTGCCAACAAGCTGCTCTTTTGCTGAGGTCAGGAGTTTGAGCCCCAGTCAGGGACTTGATGAAAGCTTTTATCTAACTCTCCTGAGCCCTGTAATTGTTCACTGGATGGGAGTCATCTTCATGGTCCGTTGGTGCTGCCTCCAGATAATTTTTTTGGTAGTAATATTTATATGACTATTCATTGGGGCATGATTTTACACAGACTAGATTTCTCAAATTTTCTCAGTTGACACTAAAACTGGAGATACTACATGACATAGTAAGCTTGCTTATTTGTTTTTCTGTTCAAACAGCTACCATTTCCCCTTATAGAGGAAAAATAAATACTACCTCATAAATCAGAAATATGAACCTATCACCTGAGCAATAACAATGAATATACCTATGATTGATTCATTACCTGGAACTTCAGCAGTCATAGTAATTCAAGAAATGTTTATTGCATAAATTTCTTCCATATGGGCCCCAATGCATGTCCTGTTAATGTTAACCACATACAGTCAGAAATTTATAATAGAGTCCAGAGGACTCGTATGGTCCTATTCCTGGTCCTTTTTTGGAAAAATCCTGTATATTGATTTTTAAAAGAGAGAAATACCTACAACTGAAATACTATTCTGTCACTGTGCGTCTAAGAGCAGCATGCAGATAGGTTTATTTAATCTATAATAAAAATATATTTTTTTTAATTTTAAAAATTAATTCTGGCTTACGTCAGCACGTCACGAGGTGTTGGGGCGGGTGAGGTCACCACGCTTGGGCAGGATCGGCAGTTTGAAGGAGTCGGAAGACTCAACGGAAGATGGCAGTGACCCGTACCGACCTAAGTCGACTTGACATGCTGGCCTGGATCAATGAGTCTCTGCAGCTGAATGTGACCAAGATCAAACAGTTGTGCTCGGGGGCTGCCTATTGTCAGTTTATGGACATGCTATTCCCTGGCTCCATTGCCTTGAAGAAAGTGAAATTCCAAGCCAAGCTAGAACATGAATATATCCAGAACTTCAAAATACTACAAGCAGGTTTTAAGAAGATGGGAGTTGACAAAATAATTTCTGTGGATAAATTAGTGAAAGGAAAATTTCAGGACAATTTTGAGTTCGCGCAGTGGTTCAAGAAATTTTTTGATGCGAACTATAAAGGAGAAGACTATGACCCTGTAGCTGCCAGACAAGGTCGAGAAACTGCAGGCACTCCTTCCCTGGTTGCTGCAGCTCCCAACAAACAGAAGAAACCCCTCCACTCCAGCAATGCGGCTCCCCAGAGAACCGTTTCGACACGGAAAACTACCGCAACTCCCAAGGTCGCCCCAGGGGTGGTGCGAAAGAATCCTGGTATGGGAGACGGGGACAGCAAAGCAGCCGAATGGATGCAGCGGGTCAACGTATTGAAGCATACTGTAGAAGGTTTGGAGAAAGAGAGAGATTTCTACTTCGGAAAGCTGAGGAACATTGAATTGATTTGCCAGGAGAATGAGGGGGAAAGTGACCCTATACTGCAGAGGATTGTAGACATTCTCTATGCCAGAGACCAAGGCTTTGTGACACCCAATGAAGGGGCCCCAAAGGAGGAACAAGAAGAGTTTTAACAACCTACACCAGCAGAGCAACTAGAATTAACATCTAGTTGATTCCCCTGGGAAACAAACAAAAAAAGTTGACCATGGGTGGGGCTTGCCTTGAGGATGGTGGTCAACTGATTGCTGGAAGTATTCTGATGTAATCCTCTGAGGTGGAGACTTCAGTAGAGAAATGTAAAGACCAACTTGAGTTTAAAACTAATGTGAAATCTTGTCAGAGAATGTTTCAATAAACAAATGCCTTAAGAATATTTAAAGTATGCTTCCATATTTCAAAATAGAGTAACATGACATGTGTCTAACATTTTGTCTGGGAAAGAAGGGCCAGATCTCAGAACCTTTTGGAACCTGCTGTCACAGGTCTTACAGGGTTGCTTAAATCCTCACAGTTCTAGGCTTTGGCTCAAAAGGAGAGTTAAGAAGTTTCTCTGTAAAGCCATTTGGTGTCATTGACCAATTGCATCCCTGCTAAAAGCAAGATGCATGGTTGCCTGGATGAATAGAAAGTATTTTTCAGCCCCGAGATGTGGGTTTTTTCATTCATTCCTGAAATTTCTATGTATTGTCCTTTATGGGAAATGTTTTGTCCAGTTTTTTAATCTAACCCCTATTTGGGGGAACTTGACCACATCTCTGAGATTTGGATAAGGATTGTGTCCTCTCTTCCTGTTTTTAAGTTTACAAATAACATGTTTCTCCTCTCTGCTCCCCTTGCCCATTGGAGATTCCTCTTTGGCTCCTTAAGTTTGCTACTTACTATTGGAAGTAAGCAAGCAGGTGATTGTGCTGCAAGTTCTTGCTGGACCTCTAGCAAAGGCATGATCAGTGAAGGCCATCTTTGCCTCAGAATCTACAAGGCTGGGGTGGTTTCAATATCTGCTGTTCATGGCTCTCCATTGTTAGCCAAATACTTTGCCAGTATTTCACTAGTCTATTTTAGAGAGAAAATTCCCTATTGTGTTAACTAAATATTAATTTCTTTTGCAGAAATACAGTACCATGTCTGGATTAATTCTTAATACTGAAAATATTCAATTTCTTCACCTTATTTGCTTTGCCCATGGCCTATTCAGTCCCTTTGTCTGGCAGAATTGTGTAAAATATATGTTACTCACTACTGACAGGTTTGTGTTGATCTGTTTATGGTGGTAGCTTGTCCAAAAATATATGTGGAAAACAGGTATTTTATGATAAAATTGCTGTGTAATGCATGCTCTGTGTGAAATTCAGAGGAGAACCCAGATTCATTGATTAAAAATGTCAAAAAACGCAAGTAACTAGCCATTCTTCCAAAGTGGCCTTTTAGGTCTTTGTTGCCCTAAAATTCCATTTTCTCAGAAACCTATTTTCCATCTGTCTTGTTGACAGGGTTGCCCCCCTACACACACACTTTTGTTAAACAGTTTCTAAATAAAATTCTGTATTTCAAAAAAAAAATTTAAAATAAATAAAAAAATTTTCTGAGCTGCTAGTTTCCTAAATTCTACAGGAGAAAAACATTCATATAGTGGTAATGTCACTGAAAAGCTTGGTGGCATTAATTTCCAAGTAGCCATGGAAAGAGAGCAAGAGTTGGGGGAAAATGTATTGCTCAAAAAAGATCTCAGTCCCTGGTTTTAAGCTGTCAGTCCTATTGTCTGTCTTCTTGGGGCCTCCATTCTCTCACAGTTGTTTTATCCTGAAAGGGCTTGCTTTTTGATATTCAGGGACATTACATGTTATTGGTCTAAATCACTTTGCCTTGGTGGTTCATTCATGCTGATCCAGCTTCACATGATCAGATGATTACAGATTATTACAGAAAAAGATCTTGCTCCTGTTGGGGTTCTGTACATACAACCCCAAAATACAGTACTTTGGAATCTGTGAAAACTAAAAAGCTGAAAAGTGTCTCTGACCTCTCTTCAAGACTCTCCTGAGATAGGTGTCCTGCCCTATCCTTGGAGAAAAGGGATGAAGACACAGCGGTGCCAAGAAGAATCTGACCCAACTGGCCTTGCCATGTTCTCCTGGTCTGTTACCATTAGATCATATCCCCTCTTATCCAACCATTCTTCCACACACCCATCCACTCTTGAGCAAACCTAAAGATGCAGAATCCCCATTTCCTTGATTCTTCATTTCTGAAGGCTTCCGGGTCACATAAAACTTTGATTACATATATTTTTTACACTTTTATTTCATTTATCTCTCTTTTGTCATGGAGGTGTTGGTCGTCAACCTAGCAATGGATAAGGAAATGATATTTCTTTTCCGCCCCTACCTTCAGATCTACCAACAGTGAATAGCAATGTGTGGGACCACCCTCATCTGCAGCCTATATGAAACATGAAAGAAACCTCACCATACATTTGGTGACAGAGTGAAAAAATAAAGTCACACTTCTGCTTTAGGTCAGGGAATGAGGTAATGATTATTCAAAGTCAGCTTTCTTTCTAAGATTCTCTAATTATATAATACCATATCAACTTATTATAAGAAAGTCATTATGCCACCTATATATGGATGATGCGACAGTATGGGAAAATCTGGGTATTCTCTTAGAGACATTCCAAGACACTGGAGAATAGAAGAAAACAATTCACCAAAAGAGAAAGTAGATTCTCTATGATCTGAAACATCAACCAACAAGTGTGTGGTAACACAGACTCACATTCCTAAAACTCCTGCCCTTAAAGAATTCATGGACTAATTAAGAAATAACTAAAATAGATGCTGTGGAATAACACTAGCATATTTCACAGGATTTGGGGCATTTCAAGTCTGGCAGTAGTCATTGGTGATACATAATTTTTTATTCGAATTTCTCTTACATATTGAAAGTAAGAGAAATAAATATCCTTAAGGATAAGAACTATGCTTTCTTCATAAAACCTAAAATGACATTCCACAACTATCTGTCCATTGAAAAGGTTTGGGATGTAGTCAGGTCTACTCCATGAAAATTCTTTTTCAGAGCAAAACTGCTGCTTCAAGTTCATGAAAAGAGATGTTTTCTGGTCCCTTGAGATGCATCAGAATGAAATACTACTTATTGGGGAGTACTATTAACATCAGGAAGAGCAGAATGGCTGTTCACACTACATATGTCTTTCAGAAAAATTCTCCTGAAAATGATTAAGAAATTATCTGTAAAGGATTCACAAGAAGTTCTTAAAGTTATGTGTGCTGAGTTAGTGCTGCCTGGCATTCTATTTGAGAGATTAATTTAGAACTTTGGAGTGGACAATCACCCATGCTCAACCTTGACAGCCTGACTTGTATGCTAAGGGCTTAAGTTTCTGTAACTTCAGCAAAAGATTTACTCCCCAAAGCAGACACAGTGCAAAAAAATAAATAAAATTCAAATATGTAAAAGGATGTAAAGTTTGACTTACTAAAAATGGGACATTCTCAGTGGTGCTCAGGGAAGGGTCCCCTTGTAGAGGTACCTTCAGTGTTTTCAAATAAGTTTGCTATGCCTTTCTTTTCATTTTCAAATCACCTGAGGCTTAAGAGTTTATATGTTTTGCACTTTTCTCTGCTTTTTGATGCTTTTCTGTCTCAGGAAAGCTCATTTTTATGTTACCAAGGATAACAAAGCTGTTTGGGCCAGGACCCACAGGGCAACCTGCCTCATGGTTTGTTTGAGGTGGTTGTCTTTCAGAACATTCCACTCTGCTATTAAAGAGTGTCTAGTTTCTCTGAACTTTAGATGATGTGACTAAGAATACCAGGAAGATAATAGTGGCTCAAATAATATTAATTGGAATTAACTATTCCTATAATTATCAAATATTCAAATTTACAAATAAGCAGTAACAGGAGAGTTGTAAGGAAAAAAATGGAAATCTCTCTTATAAAAAGAAACAAGATATACAAAAATAATAAATGCAAAAAAAGGTTCCTAATCCTCATGACTCTGGTTTTATTACATAAAAGTTATGGGGAGCCATTGATTTGGGACTGAGTACCTACACTAGTAGGCCTCAATAGACCAAAGCAAGATAGAGTCACTCAAGCTGGGATTCCACATCACCAAAAGGAAGCCTACGCTGTTTACTTGTAAGATCTGACTTTCTGAGAAATTGGGAGAAAGATGATAATAAAATCCCCCCCCCCAAAAAATAATAATAACTAGGAGATTCACAGTAAGCGATCAAATCAAAAGTGACCTGGTCTACCTAAGCTGGCATAAGGAAGTTCCCTCTGCTTTAACCCACACAAGGAAAGTAACCTGAAGTAACCTGATGTTAACCATTCCACTTTTTGCTGTGCTGTCTCTTCGTTCCTGTTCAAGCTTCCTTACAAAAACCAATCGCTCTGCCACGCCCAGTGGAACGCCCATCTATTTTGTAGACTGAATGCAGCTTGATTCAGAATCACCAATAAAAGCCAATTTGATCTTTAAAACTCAATTTGTTGAAATTTTGTTTCTTCACAGTTCTCAGCACGTGTATCAGATGTATCCCAGTTGCTCTGTGGGATTGAAACTCTGATTAAAACACAAGATTCTTTGTCAGTAAGAAAAACATTTCAGTGTAAGGATCTTTTGGTAATTACTTGTAGCAACACCAACGACTTCCTATATGTTACAAAAGTATTTAGAAATGTCCATGGATTCTGCCTATGTTAGGAAATCTATGTTGAGAAGCATATTTGTGGTGGTGTTTTAAAAAAATCATTTAGAGGAGCTGAGATTTTGTAACTGAGAAAAAATCATTTCAGATTCTACTCATTAAATAAGAAAGAAAAATGGTTATTTGAGGAAATAATGAGAGAAAATGTTTTGAAAAAATATAGCACAGTTGAAAACATGAAAGCAAATCATTTCACCTTGTTTTTATTATAATGGAGGAGGCTTGGGTTTGGCTTCCACAGAGGGATTTCATTTGTAGTAAGCCACCCCAAGATTCCAGTGCTTTAAACTGAGGTCATATATACACCATATTAGATGTAAAAGTCAGAAATCCTCACACCTGTTTTAGTGCCCTAAATTTCTGCTTTAAGGCTGTCAGTAAAGATGTCCA